ACTCTGTGCTGTCTGGGTCAGAATTCAATAAAAAATAACTATAAATTTTAGATGAATTTTAACAATTAAAAGTGAGATAAGTATGTTTGATGAAAAAGAGAGTTCTTACAATTAGTGCAATCGATAGTGCTGGAATGAAAAATAAACTTTTTAATTATATTCAAAATTCAATTAACTATATATTTATTAAAAATGAATAAAATAAAATAAATTTTAAAAAAGAATTTTAAAACTTAAAATCTCTACTTTTGATCACTTTTTTATTTCCGCAAGTTTGATAATTTTTACATATAGAAAGCTAGATAAAATGGAAAATTTTTTTGTTATTTTGTAAGCCTATCACATACTTAAAAAATTATGTACTTCGCAAAAATTTTCAATTTTTCATTATAAAGTTTTCCTTATAAAATCATATTTTTAAATATTCCTAACATTTTTTATTACTGAATTATATTGCGGATTAAATAAAAAGAACATTTTGGCTTTAATCGCTCTTAGTTAAAAATTATCACAATTCAAAAAACATATTCTTGAAGTTTTGTTTTATTGAACAGTATAATTTGAATAAAATATCGCGTCCTGAATTTATTTAAAAAAAATTTTTTTGGAATCATCAAATGCGAACTTTAACTGATCGGTTATTCCATTCTCTTATAAATTATTTAATTTATCTAGTGGATAAACAAAAGAGTAAAAAAGTAATAACAGCATAAAAGAGTAAAAGAGTGACTGAGCTGAAATTTTTTTTTTATTGGAAGGAACACTATTCAGCTTTATTAATTTCGGAATATTCCTATGCATTTAAAAAACAAATCAGTCAATCATGTGGTCGTGTCTCACGCATGCGCACTGCGATGCGCAGTAGCGTACGAAACCTCCGGAATTCATTACATCAACACAATGGCCAACAATGGCGTTGAATACTTGAATGGAGTTTTGTTAGATGCCTCGACCGGAGTAGACGTGTTCTTGCTTCGGTCCGAGTGTTGCATCTTCCACTTTTAAAAGTTACTGCCGAGTTTAATTCGTTCATTAAATTACGATTGATCACATCTGATCCGTCAATTTCCGTTGTGAGAACGAGAGTCATCCGAACAAAAGAAGAAGTTTTCTCCGATTCGCATGATTTCGCGTGATTTCGCGATTGTCCCTGAGCAACGAAATGTAATTTTTCTTGATCAGCGGAAATGTGAAAAGTGAAGAGAGAAACGTCACATTTCCTCGACGTTTCGTGTGATCGTATTGATTCGCTTCGCGAATCGTGAAAGAGGAATCGGAATGAACGAAGGGCGGCGGAGAACGAAGAATTCCGTTTGGGATTACATGATCGGTGCCCACAGTACTCGACGTCGCAGAAGTCGCAGCACGACGACAGGAATGTGCGCGTCGTGCCCTCTCCCTCCGCAGCCATAGGGCGATGCGATTTTGACAAATGTTACGCGGATCGCATACCTCCGCTCGATTTTCATCGGCATCGCGCCACCAGGATTCCGCGATGTCACTACCGAAGACTCCACCAGACGAGTCGACGCTGGTGAGGTACTTCCGTGCGGGTAACCATCGCGGAATCGCCACTTGTCTCGACCAGCTCAAAAACGACCCGAAGCGCTGCAAGGAGTTTATTAAACGAAGCAATTGCCTCGACGTTCTCGTCCGACTCTTACGATGCGAGAACCAGAGGATCGTCGATAGGAGTCTGAGCATACTCGCAGACGCTTGCATGAACGACGATGTCAGGGAGAAGGTATGCTCATTTTGCTCCTCTCCCTTGGTATTTTCTGTTGACATAAGTATCATTCTGTCTTGTTACACACTGTCTAATTACTTGTTAAAAGAAAGAAGCAAATTTGCACTGCTTGATTTTGATTACACTTGATTAGTGCTTACTAAAAGCTACTATATATACATGACATTAACAGAATTGAATGTAAAAGTATACGAATATTTTAAATGATTAAATAACAACATCACATTATATAATAGAGAATATACATGTATTTATTGTCAAGTTGAATACATTATGCCACTGCATTTAAGTACTTTATATAAAGTGCTCTTTAATGTGTCTAATCCAGTGTGAGTGATTAAATTCACTAATAAAAGGTGACACAAGTGTCTTTTTATCTTTTTTACTCTCTAAGTATTAAGAAAAATGGAATAATGTTTATGTCAACTTGAATCACAAATAGCGAATTCGGTTACTCTTGCATTACATTAGATTATTTTGTATTAAAAAATTAAAAATATTAAAAAAAAGCTGCTATACATGAAATTAGTAAAGTTAACTGCAAAAACATATAAGAGTATTTTAAAGGATTAAATACCTATAATGAGATTATCATGTTATCTAACAAAATATATATTTCGTTGTCTAACAAAATATATATATTGTCAAAGTTGATTATATTATACTTTATACAAAACTTTTAGATACTTTATACAAAACAATTATTAATATGCATTAATCTAGTTTAGTGCGAGTGATCGAATTCATCATAATAGTGCTTTTTAGCAGGAGACCATATACCATTTTACTGGCAGTGTACAGGGTCCTGTTCTTTTTGGCTGAACTTTTGCACAGTTTTTCCTTTTCTCTCCAGGAGAAAAAAAAGAGGAAGAAAGATAAATTAGTACAAAAGTTCAGCTAAAAAGAACAGGCCTTATGAACATGGTTATACTATAACATAGAGATCATTTCATCTTTGTTTAACATTAACAAATAATAAAGATATAATGATTCATTGTGTGCTACGAGTGCTTTCTATGTGTGTCTGTTTCTATCAAAGATAAATTTTAATCTCAGTTCAACTTACTATTAATTTTTTTCTAATAGAACAAGAAAAAGACCAAGAGTTAGTTGAATCGAGATTGAAATTAAATTACATTAATAGAAACGGATGTTAGCGACACAAATCGACACAAACATTCTAATAACGGAACAACACTTGTGATTTTGACTTGTGTCGACTCTCTTGTTGGAGAGCATCCTGAAAAACATTCATCGATGTCTTCACACTGGAAACTGTGATTTTTTTCCAATCAAATATACAAAAAATTTCTTCTGTAGTTGAATTAATATACATTTATACTTAAAATAAAATAAATATATATTTGAAGTTTGATGAAAGCAATATAGAAAGTTTTGGTATAGTTCAATGCAACGACAAAGAACAAATCTATATTTGTATCTAGATAGATTTGTCAGTGTTGTTTCAAAACTGTATTATGTATCAAAAATAGTATACTTTAAAGCAACATTAACGAATCTACTCATCATGATGTACAGATTAGATGAGATGTGTTTGATTGAAGAATACTATAAATTTCAAGTGGAAGGCATCAATAGAATCAAAATTCTTTTTTGTGATTGATTTTAAAATACATTTACATCCAGTGAATAATTAAGAGCAAGATCAATTATATTAAATAATCATATCAAATAAATTTTACAACAATTGTAGAGCTGTTTTCTTTACTGAATGCAGCCAATGATACTT